ACAATCCTCTTTTTGATCTCACCGTTCTCTTTTCTCTCGCGTATTGAAAAAGTCTTCTTTTTTACGTACCAAACTCAAAATCTAAAAAATATTTGTCTATCGGTACAATGCTTTAAAAAATTGTTAATATGACTCTTTCGCTACTCCCATTGGTTTGTACAGAAAATAAAATGAAGAAATATTTGTGGAAGCGATAAACATGTTTAACTATTTTATGATTGCTTACTGTTATTTTAAGCTTATTTTTTGAAAAAAAAGTTTTGTGGAAAATGGTTTTGAGTATCCATCAAACGAAACATTTTTTAAGAAAGTGACAAAGACTATCAATCGCATATTGCTTAGATAACTTTTTTACTCTCTCGTCCTCTATTTTTTTATTTTGAAAGTTGGCAACCCTACCTTAGTCCCACCTTTATGAAGACGTAAACGAAACGTCGTATCCAACTTTGCAGGATCAATTATTGCGTTATGCTCGCAACTGTTTAAAAAAAGCTGCTTGTTTTATATACTGTTACTAGCGTGTACCCGCGACTTCGTTCGCTTCGAATTAATCATTTGTAATGGTGATGAAAAGGGAAAGCAAGAATTTCCATTAACATACAAACTGGATAACATTTTCTCATATTTATGTCAGCATGAGAAAAAACAATATGGCGATATTATTATATAACTTGGTAATATTTGAGAGGTAGTTTTATCTCGTTGGAATTCGACTTTCGTTTGCCAAAAATAAGCTTTTTACGTCAAGCAATTTAAGCAGAATCGTGGTTAATCAATTACCCAACTTTTTGGAACACCCTGTATGATTTTCTAAAAAAAAATCAAAATATGTAAAAAAACAAAATAAATTATGCGTGTCCAAGCGTTTTTCCGAAAGACTAACCGTTTTTTAAATAATAAATATTGTAATATTTGAGGGACGTTTTCACCCTCTTGGAATTTGAGATTTGAGAAACCCCTTATTATCGAACCTCTACACCCCACAGCTTTAAACGTCAAGCAGTTCAAGCAGTGTCGTGATTACTCAAAGGTCATATTTTATAAAATACCCTGTATAAATTTTTAAAAAATCTTAAAATATGTAAAGCAATGAAATAAAATATACGTTTTTAGAGTTTTTCCGAAAAACTGACCGGTTTTTAAATAAAAAATATTCTAATATTTGAGGGGTGGTTTCACCCCCTTAGAATTCGAGTTTCGAAAAATATACCTACACCTTAAATTCAATCCGTTTTCCAAAAATCAGCTTTTTACATCATGTGCTTTAAATGACCAGATTTTTCGAAAGACCTTGTATACATTTTTAAAAAATCTTTAAATATGTAAAAAAATAAAATATACGTGTTTAAGCGTTTTTTTTCGGAAACTTGACCGTTTTTTAAATAAAAAATATTGTAATATTTGAAGGGAGGTTTCACCCCCTTGGAACTGGAATTTCGAAAAATCCCTTCTTATCGAACCTCTACACCTTGAAGTCAATCCGTTTTCCAAAAATCAGCTTTTTACGTCAAGCGCTTTAAGCAGGATCGTGATTAATCAATGACCAGATTTTTCGAAACACCCTGGATACATTTTTAAAAAATCTTAAAATATGTAAAAAAACAAAATAAAATATACGTGTTTAAGCGTTTTTTCGGAAACGACCTTTTTTTAAATAAAAAATATTGTAATATTTGAGGGGAGGTTTCACCCCCTTGGAACTGAAATTTCGAAAAATCCCTTCTTATCGAACCTTTACACACTGAAGTCAATCCGTTTTCCAAAATCAGCTTTTTACGTCAAGCGCTTTAAGCAGGATCGTGATTAATCAATGACCAGATTTTTCGAAACACCCTGGATACATTTTTAAAAAATCTTAAAATATGTAAAAAAACAAAATAAAATATACGCGTTTAAGCGTTTTATTGGAAACTTGACCAATTTTTAAATAAAAAATATTTTAATATTTGAGGGGTGGTTTCACCCCCTTGGAACTGGAAATTCGAAAAATCCCTTCTTATCGAACCTCTACACCCTAGTGTCAACCTGTATACCAAAATTGAGCTTCTTACGTTGAGTGGTTTGAGCATGATCCTGATTAATCAGTGAGTCACTTAAGGATTTTATATATTAGTACACATAGATTTTTTAAAAGTAGCAACGTTGTGTTATGTTATTTCTAAATAACTGTTATAAAATAACTGATAGTTAAATAACCACCCATCTCTACAGTACGAAGTGACGCCACTGCCTGGGTACTCTTTCAACCTGCACGGGATGATGTTCGGAACGGAGAGAACCCGGAGTCGTTATCGATTTGAGCCGCGATATGATCGAAATTACGAGCGGTCAAGCGACGCGCGGTGGTAGCCGCTCACGTTCTAACGTGAATTATATTCGCTCGGCTTTTTTCTCAGCTTAATCGATCTCTCTCTCCCGCGGCTTAGAACAATTTTCTAACTTGTCCGAAGATTAAATTGAGTTACAGCGTCCGAAACGAGCGTCCAGCTTTTTCCTTTCTTCTATTTTCGTTGCTGAGCGCCGCTTATATTGCTTCTTGTCGGTTTTTTGGTTGTTTTTGGTGTAACGCCTTCGAATGAGATTGAATTGGTAGATGCTATTTTAGATAGAAGTTATATTTTAAAACTTGGCAACCTTTTCTACCATCTTATGTATAATGGATAAACAAATTGCTTATTTTTCTTCTTGTCTTCACCTTGTTTAATAATGTATATACCTTTGTGTCTGGTAGATTGTCACTCCATCGTTTGCGGGGTCTTTCGGTGCTCCTGCGCCCTAATGGTCCCTCGTGATCTTTACTATTCTGACGTTAGTCATGTGGTTGATGTGTTCGTTTCATTCCTTCATTTTTTATAATAGCCACTTATTCATGTTATCTACTTTACACGTTCTTCTGATATCCTCGTTCTTATTTCGATCTATAAGTATCTTGCCAGCAATTTTGCGGACCTATTTTTTATTTCCTCTGTTTCCAGTATTTGCATTGTTTTTAAGGTTTCTGAGTTGGTTTCTGCTGTGTATGTTAGTATGGGTCTGATTGCTATTTTGTAGATTCTGGATTTAAGTCCATTTTTAAGTCTTAAGTTATTTTTAAGTTTAATACTACAAAATTGATATCCTATCAACATATAGCTCCATATGATACTGTTGAGACATGGGGTTGTTCTTGGTTCGTTCAGGGTTTGTCTCCTCACCGACGTTTGCGACGTGTTCTAGATGACTAAATCCGGAACATGCATTTAGTTTTTGTTGCTGAGTTTTAAGCTTTTTGGCTGTTATATTAAATTGATGGAGCAGTCTTTGCAAATTGTGTCCTGTCATCTTAGCAAATCGTCTTCTGTCAAAACTGTCAGCTATTTATACTGCATCATCAGCGTAGCACAATATTTTCAGAATTTTATGTGAAACTGTAAGGAGCTAAGAGAATCATCTTGGTCGGATACCATTATTTACTTCTATTTTTTCTGTTAGTTCACCATTTACTCTAGCTTGAATTGTATTGGCCTGATATATATTTTCAATTGTTTGAATGATGTTTTGTGGTATTTATTTGTCGTAAGCAGGTGTGTTACATCTTTCAACTGTATGCGATTGACGGCAATTTCTAGATCAATGAAACACAATATGAAAGATGAACTTGGCAACCTAGAGATGAAAAGAACATATAAGGAGCATACGAAGGTCTAAAGTGGCAAAAACCAGTAATAATAAAAACGAAATAACAATATTGCAAGGAAGTGAACAAATCAAGAAAAAGGTTGCTGTATGCACAATTCTTGGTGACTGTGAATCCAGGCAGCAAACTTATAATTTAGGCTTTTTCTTTTACACCTAAATAAGGTTCATCAATGCCACTCATTACTTTCAAAAACCTTCTGCGGTGCCGGAAAAGCAATTACAAAAATGACCACTAACAGTGGGTAGCCAACAAATGTCTAGAAAATTGGAAAGCATCACTAATGCACCAGAGGGAGTCGAAATAGTCCAGAGTAGAACATTCGCCCAAATTTACTTTATTCAATTATTATTACATTTCAATTTAAATAGTCATTAAAATCTGTTGAGATTGAAGGACGAAGGTTAGGTTAGGTTAGTTTTGAACAGATTTAGTACAAAAAAGTGTTAAATATCGAAATAAAAAATTGTATTACTCAGAACTGCGATAATTTCAAAACAATAATGAAAGCTTAAAGACAGGTAGGTAGATAAATTTTGCTTATAGAATAAATAAATATTTATTAAAATTGAATCTATATGTATGTTTATGTAAGCTATGCAGGGCTAAGGAATGGAAAACGTCTAACACAGGCCAAGTACTGGTCTAGCAGTATATTCCATTCCATGATAGACGCCATAGATAATGTCTGTAATTTATGATTTGTAATCTATTGGTGATATATTATTTGTATTATTTTGTATTTGTTAGGTTGCTGGAGTTTGGGATCCTGTTGGATCTCTCACTTTTGGACTTGTGCCCATTGCGATACCCCTGTATTATTGTACCAAACCTTCCTCTCATTCTTTCTTTGCGTTAAATCACTTCCTGTTAAAGTTCCCGTATAACGATTTTCATATCACTCTGTATACTGCTGTAAAACAGTGCTAGCATTTCATTCGAGGTTCTTGGAAGTATCAAATTCTCTTATTTTCAAGAATATACACACAAAGTACACGATTTTATTCCCTCGACCCGTCTAACACCTTCTTCAGGTATCGACTTCTCTTCCCTCACTTCCCTGTCAAACCGCAACGGGCTTTTCAGTGCGCTTTCATAACCTTACCCCTTCACCTCACCCTGGTGCCTATGTTTACTTTCGGCACTTGGCGGCACTTCCAACATCAAAATCACGTTCCAGTCGGCCAACTCTCGCGCAATGTCCTTTGCATAGACCCCGCCGTCGACTCGTCTTCATTTGTTTGGCGCACCGGCTAGATGCGGCGCGCTTGTTTTGTGTACAAACAGAAACAGCCGACAGTCGCGCTTTGCTGGTTGCCGGAGTGGGCTGTGCGCGGTGTCGATCCTGTTTTGTTTACGTTTCGCTCGAAACGCGCGGCAGATTTGATTTTTTCCAGGATTTTTTGGTTTGTTTGGAGATGGAAAAATAGTTTTGGACGCGTCGTTTAGGTGATTTTGGTTGTCGAATTGAAGGTGAATTTATTTTTTTTATATTACTAATTATATTAATTATTATATTATCATAATGTAATAGAATATGAAATACAATTTTTATTTATTAGTAAATTTTTCTTCATCTAGATTTATTTTTCAAAAACATTTTTGATATAAAACAAATTGTGTTGATTTGTAACTGGAGAGCACTGTTACATACAATAGATTAAATATTTATTAAATAACTTTGGATATTTTTATTCTATAAGGACCACGATTTTTTATCATATTATTCATGATATGTTGTTATAATTATTTCTTGCTATTATTGAACAATTAGGTGGTATGGTTAAGTCATTAACTAAAAAATGTTTTGGAGTACTTTAGATTAAATTAAATTTTTTGATGGGGTTATTGGTCAATTTTTTTTGTGTCGAAAAATCTGCAAACCAGGGACCGTATACGGTACTGTTGGGGTGGTTGAGTACCTTACCGATCCAAAATACCTCCACAAGCTGCTTTGAGTATCCCCCCGAGGAACTACCTTTTGGCATTACTTCCCGAGGAGGCTGTTTTACTGTGATGTTTTAGTTACTTCGTCCAGCTTATTTCTCTTTTATTCTTGTTAGTATCATCATAAAAGTGTGGACACCATTCCAATTTTCTATGGATCGGAAATCTTAATTTTATCGACTCTTAGTTTTTTGTATAGCGCTCTTCGTTCAGCTGTCCATCGGTTACATTCTAAAAGGGTATGTTCCACCGTATCAGCATTGGAGTCGCCATAGAGACATCTGGGGCTATCAATTAAATTTATTTTATATAATTAATACCTGAAACAACCGTGACCAAAAAGAAATTGACTCTTGGCATAGCTCAGTTCTCAATATTCTCTGTTTATCCAACACTCTAGGTTTTTTATAAGTGTTCTAGTCTATTTATCTTTCCCATTTCTGTTTTCACTCCATCTTTTACACCGTATTTCCAAAACTCTATTTCTACTTTCTTTCGCTGTTCTTCCTGAATGTTCTTGCCTTTCCATTCTTTCTTCAATTACTATGTCTATTCAACTTCTTTCTGGGCTCCTTTGCAGATCTATTGTGGTGATCTTCAGATCTCCTGATAATAATAATAATAATATTCTCCAGTCATATTCTTTTCAAAATGGCTAATAATTAAAATTTAGCGACCGAATGAACCATATAGCTCTTTTTTAAGGTCTTAAAATGGCCTAGTACAAAGAACAGCGCCTTTTCCAGGCTATCGCACTAATTCTTCTGCTGTTTCTTCTTCTGATTGACAAAATCTGCAATGTTTTTTTTTCTGTCAATCCCATCAGCTTTTGATGAATATTTGAGCTTGCAATGTTAGTAGACCCATTACAGTTACGTCTGTTTTGCCTTGTTAAATTTTTCCACCATTCTAGAGATTTGTTGGCCATCCATTGTTTTGTGATCATACAAACGGAAGTCTATAAATCCTCAATTTGCAGTCTAGATTGATTTCATTTACAAGGCTTTTCTGTGATTGCCAATTGGGATTGTTCTATGGTTTATTAACTTTGCTAGTGTATTTGATGAATGTCGAAAAATTTATGTTGTATATTCAAACCAGGAAAAAGTCTTTCATAAAGATAATATCCTCATTAATATTTTGGTTTGGTTTGGAAGAGGTGCTGAAACTACGAATGGCATTGATGAGGTTTGTTTATGAATTAAGAAATTTTAATTACGGTACAAAAATTTTAATTAAGGTATAAAAATTAGAACCTATAAGCCTCAATTTGCAGCCTAAATTGGTGATGTTGATTAACGTTTCCAGGGTATTTGAAGAACGGGATCATGTTGTATATTCAAACCAGGAAAAGTTTTGGAAGTAGATAATATCCCCATTAAAATTTTGTCAAATGAAATTATCAGCTTTTTGAAGAAAAATTTTGTTAAACTTTTAATAGAAATTTACTAGGATCATCGTAGGAGTCTTTCAAAGGTCAGTCAAGTTTGCCCCCCGTATTAGAGGAAATTCAAAAATAAATATACCACTATTTTGCACACAGTTTTTTATCCGTAATGTAATAAAAAATTTCATATCCATTAATAATGCATTACAAAATTTTGATTAATAAGGTGCACAGGGTTATCAGAATTCAAAAGTCTTCTTCGTTAATAAAGATAAAAAGGATATAGTTAAGTTCTTATATTAATTACTCTATAACGACTTTAAAAGGTCTGTTTGGATTGGACTATAAAATAATTTTAATGGTTTTCTTTGCTATTTAAGTTGAACTACTTTCTAAGTTTTACAGGAGATGTAGATGTTGGTTTCTTCCTACATGGGATTCTTACTAGAGGAACTTTTAACGTAGAAAATGTTTAAATAAATAGTTTTCCAAGTAGTAGTAGTATTTAATGCAGATGAAAATTCAAAGAAAATAATTATTATCTATGAAAAATGAGATGTGTAACTAAAAAACGTAAAAAAGGAATGCAAGACTGCAAAAATCTTGCACGCTTGGTTTTGATCTTGTGTAAATCTTGCACTGATCGGTTTTAGTCTTGGTTTTGCTTTTTGACCAAGACTGCAAGAGACCAGTCTCGTTCATCACTACATTGTAAAAGTAGAGTTATTGGTGTTTTAGATGAGTGGCTTCTAGCGATGTCCATATCTTTTATTTTTACTTTTATTTTTAACAAAGCATCACCTTTTGAAAGGCTGTGTTCCTCATCTCATTGGACATCAAATTTTTTTTTCACAGAAATCTTTTACAGGCACTTTATAGAAGTACCATTGGGCCTTAATAACGTTTCTATAAAAGCAAAATTTTCAGAATCTTTATTGTAGTTGTAGTGTCACATTTATAAGGGGATTTTTATAAAAAAACGATATTTTTCAATCTAGATTATTCTAGATATTCAAAAAGCCGCCGATGTTCTCAAATGTTTGCTTGTTTTTTTAACTATGTTTAGTGAACTATTTAAAGTACAGTAAATATTATTATTACTCTTATTGCTATACTAAAATTGTTTCTAAAATTATAAGAAAGTTACCTATAGAGGAAGGGTTCCTAAGATGAATGGACCGATATTTTATAGTTCTTTCTATCCATTTTCATAAATACCTTGATAAGAATAAGGGTTGTTAGCTATAAAATTGTACGCACCTGAAATGCAATCTTTTCACGACTTGTGCTACCCAAATAAGTTTTTATTATGTGTATTTATGGCCCCTAATTAACACCTTGAATTCAACTTAAAGGCTTGAATGCAGTATTATTTAAATTTCTAGGCATCTCTTAGCAGTATACAGGGTGTCCCAGGCCGAGCGTGCATTAGGAGTTTCTAGAGAACTAACTACATTACCTAGATCGGAGATTTTTTGCACATCGTTGTTTCATAACGAGATCTATCGATTAAATTTTTTTTCAATATGGCGGCACATCCGGAAATACCGGAAGTTGACAGCAACTTTCTTATTTCAAACGGGTACCCCCATTTTTTATTACATAATTACATTCTATGTAAAATTCATGAATTTTGATTTTAAACACTCTATATCTAACATTAACCGTTTTTGAGAAGAAAAATATTTAAAATTTTTGGACGAAAAAAATTGCCTGTCAAAAAAATTTGTATAGCTTAAACGTCAAATTTAGTGATTATGTGTGATGCAAAGAGAAGACATGTGGCTATCTATTTCAAAAATTAAATTGTTCTAATGTCATATAATAATAGCGGTAGCTGTCATGGAATTGAGCGATTAAAAAATTATAAATCATTTTTTTCAAATGGAAACTCCCTTTTTTTATTTCACTAGTGAAAATGTTTTTCAATTCGATACTTTTTGACTATACATGTTCCTATACCCAAAATAAATCGTTTTTAAGTTATTTAAGATTTAGTTTTAGAGTCCTTTTTTCTTGATTTTAATCAGTAGCCTATGGCTTTAAACGTCAAGCGTCTAGTGTCATATTGTGACACTTTGTTCAAAAAGCAGTATGGCATGGATCATCATTCCAAAACATCTTTGCGCCTTTTTTCAATCATACGGTATATTATTAATAATATCAACTATTAGATATTACTAAAGAGCGAAAATACGAGATATATTTTTATAAATACACTTTTTAGTAGTATTTTTATAAATACACTTTTTACACACAGGCTAGCAGTATTTATAATATAAGAAATTCAAATAATTAGTTTTCTGATAGATGGAAATAAATTGTTTGATTGTTTGACGCTTAATGTAAAAGGAAGCTAGATACAATCATGAAAAATATAACAATTTAATTCTTGAAATAGATAGCCACATGTCTTCTCTTTATGTCACAATGACTGTGGTAATCAGGGGCGGGAAAGTGAAATAGCAAAAGCGGTTCCACCGTTTCCACGGAAATTTCAAATAAAATAGTTCCTGCCTCAGGCGCTAGGTGGTAGTGCAATTAATTTTTAGGTTAAGAAGTTGCTACTAGTTACTGCCAGATGGCGTTAAATCAATTTTTTTTGTAGTTTCCATAGTTGCCAACGACCATTGTCATACTATTGTCAAATTCTCAAAAAATATTGTCGTTGTCATAGCGCCAATCATAATATTATCAAATTATTATCAAAACGTTTTTCAAACTATAATTTGTTATATGTGTTTTAATTAGACAATTCCTTTTGTATGTGGCCCTAAAAATATAATGTAAGTCTATTTTTGCCATCATTTAAGTACCTATTTATATTTACTCCATTTACAAAACTTTGGGTGTATTACGTTGGCCTTATTTTATTATAATAAACGATGTTTAAATATTTGACTTATAAATAAAAACTTTAAATAATAAATAATATTTACACATGTTTGGCTTTAATTTTATTTACTTTATCTTATTTTTTACACATCACAACGATACTTGTTATTAGTATTGTTGAATTTGTGTAAAAAATAAGACTCAACAATCAAATTTAATTGTTTTAGACTAAAAGTCAATAAATACGTTCATTTAAAAAGCCCGCGCTTCGATCCGTTTAAAACAAGCCCTACTCAATAGATGGCGCCACTTCTGTAGGACCATTTTTCAGTATGGCAGAGTCCATTCTTTTTCTAGCTAGGTATATTCTTTGGTGGTAATCACTAAATTTGACTTTTAGGCTATACAATTTTTTTTGACAGGTAGTTTTTTTCGTTCAAAAATTTTAAATATTTTTTTTCTCAAAAGCGGTTAATGTAAGGTATAGAGTGTTTTACATCCTAACTCGTAGAATTTTACAGAGAATTTAGGTATGTAATAAAAAATAGGGGCACTCATTTAAAATAAGAAAGTTACTGTCGACTTCCGGTATTTCCGGAAACGCCGCCATATTGAAAATATTTTCAATTGATAGATCCCGTTGTAAAACAGTGATGTGCAAAAAATATCCGATCTAGATATTGTAGTTCTCCAGAAATTTCTAATTTACGCTCAGCCTGGAACACCCTGTATAGCCTTCTTGTTTCAAGATTGTTCAAAAATTGTGTTCTTTAATCTTTCTGTCTGTTTAAATACGTATATAAAGGATATTTTTGTTTTTAACGATGTATGTAGGTATAGCATCTGAAAAATTTAAAATTAATAGTCAAGGTAATGTACCACAATCATTATTGTATCTTCTGCTATTAACGTTAGAAAAAAACCTTGAAAACGAGAGAGAGTTTGTTTCGTAACATGTACATCATTAAACAGAAAACATCGTTTGACAAAATATGTCGAACAGGTGCAACAACAATAACATCACGATACACCGTGAAACTACAATCGACGGAGCATATATGTTTTTAAACAATTACTTTACAGAGTGAACAAAAAAAGTGTTAACTCATCAGAAATCATGACCGTCTTGTTAAATGACGATAATTTCATAATTTTATAAGAGTATCCAGGAACGAATTTGGAAATTAATTAATTGTTCCAATTGAAATGAATGAAATGAATACATTGGGCAGTGAATTTATAGTTTATTGGTGGTATCTTGTAGGAAAAGTATATTTCTATCCAGCTAACTTTGAGGCTCAATACAAAGTTGTATTTTTGAAGAAGTAAGTTTTTGTAATGTTATTTTTAATAAAATAAGAAAAAAATGATACTTTTATATTTTTAGATTCACTAAATGCGGTGTCTTTTCGCAATTTGTATTATTATTATAGGGTAACAACAAATTAAAACATTTTATTATAGTGACTTTACAATTACTTTTGTAAATTCACGAAGCGTCAGTAAATATTAATAAACTTAATAAAACGCGTGTTTTAATTATAATTTATAATTATAATTTTATTATAAATGTTAATAAAAAGCCACAAAACAGAACTTATGTATGTAAGATACTCATTTTCATTTCTTCTTGTCTAGAAGAACCTTACGGGAATTCTGTGTCTAACCAAAATAGGAAACTAACCAAAAATTGCCATTAGATACAAAATTAAAAAAAACAAGCAAGAAAAAGGTATCTAATCAAAACAGTCAACTTATCAACTTAGAGACTATGGATAGAGTCCCCTCTCTACTTCGATCCTCTATTAAATTTGTCCTCCGAAATACAGTAGGAAAGAATAAATAATACTTAGAGATAATGTTGAATATAGAGAAATCATGGAACAATAATTATGCTTACATGCAAAAATCGCTAATGTTAAAATGCAAATAATTAATAATAAATGGAGATTGTGTATTCTAAAAGAGCTGGCTTTATATTGACAGAAACTACATAATTTACTTAGCTTACTTACTTTACTTTTACTGCACTGTTCGGTTTTTATATGATTCAAAATAAAAAATATATTAATTGTAAAATTAGTAATTTTTTAATAGCCATAATGCGTTCTTTCAAAATCATCGAACAACTAAATCATTTCCATAGATCCAGTGACGTACCGTGACTTCGAATTGTGAGACTAAAAACTGAAACAATAATTTGTCAAAAAAATCATATTACAGCTATATGTTTTATTTTGCATAAAAATGTAAACTAATAAGTTAGAATAATTATAATTTTTCCCTAACTAAGTGGTTTTATCGCTAAATTTAACTAAAGCTAAGTACAACACAAATCTTAAATACGTGGTCTATTATATCAACAAATACATCGTAAAAGACTATTTTGGTAGCATTCTGAACTAGAATTCAAGTTAAACATTTTAGAAAATAATTTAAACGAAAAATGTTAATTCAGTTAATATTAATTTTTGTATACTGCTCAGATTTATCTGGTCTTCTATCATATATTTTGAAAATTAGAGAATTACCTGAAGATTTTCATCTAAAAATTGGCATTTATAGTGGTGGTGGATCACTTAAAGTTTATCTGAATGTGCTCCCCGAAAATGATCCCCAATATTTCAAGAAATATAAAAGTGCTGGAATTAATAAACTATTCATAATTGGCTTAGGACCAAAGTTGTCTGAATCTTATGCTAACATTAAAATCCTCTTTGACACGTTAGATCTGCAGTCCATATGTGGAATTTGTTCCTATACTTTTGCCGCTGACTTTAAGCTTATTATGATTCTCCTTAGTCTTCAGTAAAATTCATCCACTCACACTTGCCCATAGTGTGATGTAAATGTAAAGGAAATGGAAATTAAAGGATCATTCAGAACTATAAAAAGTATTACAGAAAATACAAATTTATGGCAACAATCTGGAGGAAATATAACAAAAGCCAAAGATTTTAGTAAGCGTTTTTGTTTGAAATATTTTTTTTGTATTTTTTAAACTGTTGTTCAGTGAACCATATAAAAAAGGGCAATTATTTTTTAGAAAATTGTATAAACATACCTTTAATCAATGGCGACGAAGAAACACCTGTCTTAAAGTATATTCCCCCTCCTGAGCTTCACCTTTTGTTAGGTGTGGTTCAAAAACTATTTGATTGTCTTGAATTGGAGAATACCAATGTTGCAACAGAATGGATAAAAAAAGCGGGATTGAAACTAGATCATTATGGAAAATATAACGCAAATAACGCCAGACAACTTTTAAAGAAATTGGATATTTTGAAGACGATATCGCCCGGTAAAGAACCTATTCAAAGTTTTTAGAAGCAAAAACCTAAACATCTTTTTTTTTAGGAATAAATATATTGCAGTGTTTTCTGCATTCAATCAAGTCGTTTCGAGTTGTTTTGGTCAAGCACTAAACAAACATTTTGAACATGACATCGAACAATTTAGATTGGAAATACTCAACTTAGGTATTAAGATAACTCCAAAAATTCATGCAACTCTGCATCATGTGCCAGAGTTTATAAAAGCAAATCATAGAGCTCTAGGATTTTACTCGGAACAAGCATCTGCGAGCAGGTTCGTTTTTCCTTTAAATTATTTTCTAAAAAGTTTAACTTGAATCCTCGTTCAGAATGCTACAAAAATAGTCTTTTACGATATATTTGTTGTTATAATAGTCCACGTATTTAAGATTTGTGTTGTACTTAGCTTTAGATAAATTTAGCGATAAAACCACTTAGTTAGGGAAGAAATATAATTATTCTAACTTATTAGTTAACATTTTTATGCAAAATAAAACATAGCTGTAATATGATTTTTTTGACAAATTATTTGTCAGTTTTTGGTCTCAAAATTCAAAGTCACGGTACGTCACTGGATCTATGGAAATGATTTAGTTGTTCGATGATTTTGAAAGAACACATTATGGCCATTAAAAAATTGCTAATTTTTTAATAACCAAAAAAGACTGTAAAATAATAGAGTGAATACGACAAAAGACCGAGGTAATAGATGTCATCCACAAAGTCAAATCTCTCAAATGACAATGCAATGGGCAGAACAACTGGCAAGAAGAACGGACAACAGATGGACCTAAAAAACAACATGGTACCCATGATGAATTAAGAGATCTAGAAGAATACTAATGGCTACACCATAATTGGAACTGGTTGAATAAGCTGAGGATCATGATGATAATGATGATCATTGGTGTAATTTAAGAACCTGGCTTTTTTTAATCACATTTTCTTCAACATTTCGTTTTTATTAGATTTATGTTTGTATCTAATAAGTATCGTTAATCTAATTTTATATCGCATCAAATAATTGTATTAAAAGGCTTAATAGGTCTGCATAAGCGCTATAATCTGTAATAAATGCACATGTACATTACAAGGCTTCCTATTGTAATAGTATACTTTCTCGAATCGGTTTTTTGTTATCCCTAAAACACCCTTGACACTGTATTAGTCAATAATTCGATAGTTAAAGGTCAGAGGCGGAGCATTAAAGCGGTCAAAAATGATAGGAGTGTCTGGCGAGAAAATGACTCAAAGAAAGCGGAAGCCAAAATAATATTATAACAATGGAATTGATTGTTTAAAAGTAATTTTGTCTGGTGTTTGGTCTTCTAAAAGATTTCTTCAAAAATATCTTCCTGGTATTTCTCAGAAAATCTACAAAATAAAATAGTTATTTTTTGTAAACACCGCTGCTTAAATCCAACGGAGACCAGTTTGAGCGGTACTTTACTAATAAAACAAATTTGCCAATCTGCTAAGAAAAATGCGTTTCAGGAGGAATATCTCCTCCAAGCAAAGTTTAAAAAGTGGGAAACAAAAAGAAACACAAAGAACAAAGGAAAAAACTATTTAAAATATACTAAAACTACTCAAGAACACTTTAGTTTTTTTCGACAGATACGTCTATTAAAAACCATCTGTTAAAATGACATTATACAGGGTGTTTCAAAAAACATGTGCTATCAAGTCACGAGTGATGAAATCGCGAGTGAATTAATTTCGGGAGACGATAATGCAATTTTATCGTCGTTTATAAAACAATATTTTTTCCATAGCGAGTTACGTTTTAAAAAATATTCAGAAATTATTATTTCAAGGAATTTATTACGAGTAGAAAAAATATTGTGCTGGGTTGGCGGTGGTTTCTATGTAATTTGTCAAATAAATAAAGCTGTCTCTTTAGTTGTCAGTTTTGAGTCAATATTTTCTATAATTCTCTTTAGTGTCGATTGCTGATTGAATTGGAGCCAGAAATGGCTCAAAACGAAATAAATAAATTACCAACAGATATTCAGGCTGAGGCGACAAACGCCATATCCAAACTATTTAAATCCCGAATAACTTATGAAAAGGAATAGAAAAATTTTCAAAAATGGAAGCAATTAAAAAACATGCGAGAAGAAGTAAAGTTTTTAACCTATCCTCGCTGTTAAAGTATCATTTAATTAAAAAAGTACTATTTTATCTATTATTTTTGATAGATATAAGGCAATTTTAACAGTTGCTATGAAAAAAATATATATATTTTTTTTAATTTTGCAATTTTCTATTTCTGCCATGCAGTAATGTTTCCAACGCTCTAAAATAAGCCGAAACCGCCGAAACAATTCGCACCGAAATCAGCTGGATTCCGGGTTTGTTAGCCTCCCCATTAGCATCAACCCCGTGTCTTTGCACCCTCCGAAAACGGCGTCACAGCAGCCAGAGATCGATATGTCCAGACGCGCATATACATCCGTGTCCCGCGTCTACGGACCCCGAATAATGGGGCTGCGCTCGTGCTTTTGGGGTGACTGACGCGGAATGCACCCCGTAAAACGAACCGAGAAGCGGGAAGTTTTTGTGTGTGTTTAAAGAGAAAGTTCATAGTATTTTTGGAGGATTTTTGGCAATATTTAAATGGCTAAAAAATTCAACTTGTTTAAAAACTTATGATAAATCGAAAGAACCAAACCAAAAACTTTTCCTATAAAGCTATAAAAAAATAGTTGTATATCAAATATACCCTATATCTATTCATTAAATAAGTACAAAGTTGCACTTGCTGTTGTAACGTTAAAATACTTTAATAGATCGAAAAATAATTGGGAAAGATATAACATTTAACACATATCCCTAATATATATTCATTTATTAAAATGTTGGGACCGATTTTTGAAGTTATTTCGTGTGAATCTATTATACATCTAAATGGCAGAGATTTATTTTGAGATTGTGAAGTGCCAGAAATCCGGGATTTGAATACATTTTATTCGCAAAATCTATTGCAGGACTAGTTTCTTCTGATGTCAGGTTATATTTTTATGCCCGAGGACTAATCAATGTCAAAAGATAAGCTGAAGTGAAGGCTGTTTTATACCTTTTTTGAAACAGCTGAATGTTGATCAAGCTAACTTCCGCATTTTCTAATTTATCTTCTAGTTTATTCCAAATTTCTACCGACATTTTCTTCTGCAATAAGTCCTTTGCACTTTGAACATTATAGATGGTACTAATTTTATTCTCGACTCTTATGTCAGGTCATGACTATTTCCAAAAAAAAATTTCTTTGATCTAAGCGGCCGATTTTTCTTGGCGGAAATAGGGGCATCGACAAAATTTACAGAATAAAATATTTCATTGACCTATGTGGAAAAACGACACCCGTCGTAGAAATGTTAATATTGTCAATATCGGGCAGAGTTACAACGATTTAGCCATTTAGTATAGAACTTTGATTAAAATCAAGAAAATCCGATTAAAATAAAAAAAAAGATTTTTAATTTTTTTTTAAAAATCGTAATTTTTTTGCACCCTGCTTTGAAACATAAAAAGGTTTTTTATATATGATAATATGAATGTTGTTTTAACAGATACAAGACAAGCATACTCATAACCATGTATCCCACATTGGTTTTGGACTGAATTTTTGTTGACAAATTTTTAAAAAACTTGTAATTTTCTGCTGTTTATTTTTTAGTAATGCAGCTTGCCTACGAAGATCTTTACTAAAATAATATGATGTTTCGTAAAATGGCTTACCGAGTTGTTATCTGTACATTTTTACGTTAAATTATTAAAAGAAACAATACCATAGCATGGCGGAAGTATAGTATAAAAATAAGTATATATAATGCAGTAATTATTCAATTATGCAGTTGCATATTGCAATTATTGCTACAGGTATTACATATTGATTTTTCTATTGTTTCTCATTCCATAACAAAATACCTTATCATTTATGTTTTACTAGTTACTCATCAGTTGTTTTGAAGTGCCTGTAAATAAATGTATGTTCCAAATAAGCTGAGAGAATTGATATGAATATGAATAATAATCAGGGGATTTATAAACTAGATAAGACAATATGTATCTTTTTTTGTTTGTATCTTTTTTTTAATTTCTATATTTCTTGGAGATTTTATGAAAGCTATTTAGCTATGCACCTCTATTCCTTAATTAATGAGTTATGTTCTAAAAAAAGCCTGGTTATTTCGCCGACGAAAGATAAAATAGATAAAAAAGTTATTTTTTTATGCCACTGCGTTATAACCCTAACGGAAACCAGTGTGCCAGTAGTTTTTTTTTCTACTAAACAAATAGCTACTGCACTAGGAAAAATATAATAAGGTACTACCAACTGGTAGACAAAAAATATTCTAATAAACACAACACTGGAACATACTAAATGGAACGCTGGAAACAGTAAAAGCACATTGGGACAATACACAGCTCAGGATCTCTATTACCAGAAATCAGCAGCATTAAGTTAGAATAGAGTACAGGGTGTCCCATTTTGGTTGAAATCATACGGTATCTCCGTTATTAGTAAAGATAGGAGGATGCGGTTTGCACAAACCTGTCCCACTTTTTTGTCAAACGGAAGATGCTGCAAACAAAATTTTCATAGCCTTCTTCGTTTCTGAGCTACAGGGTCTTTTTGAAAATTTTGCAATTTGGGACACCCCCTGTATCTCTGTTATTGTTAAAGGTATCAAGAAGGTGAAAACTGTTTATTGTAGAACTTTTTACGTAGAATACAGTGACGTAGACTGGTTTTCTACAAAAAAAATATTTTTGAAAGTATGAACTAAAGTTAGGTTTTTTCAAATGGAACACCCTGTATATTTATAAATAATATGATCTGCCTTACTATGAGCTTCTCAAAAATGTATATCACTCTACATTTATTTTCAGTATTTACTGCAATATTTAAAATATATCATTTTCTTATTAGTAGGCCGTGATAAATAACAAAAAAAATAAAATGGTAGGTATTTACTAAAATAATCTACATATATTCAAATTTTATTTGGGATTAATATATTACACTTTTGTGTTACTGTTACCACTGAATCTGTGAATATATTTTTCTTTTTCTCATAACGAAATTTATTATAACGGGATGCGTTTGCAAATATCTAAAAGCTTGCATTATTAAAGCATTTTTCAGGTGTTCGACATTGTTGTAGTTGCCAGGATATATGCCTTCATATTTCAAAAAAAAAACAAAATCAGAAATCGAGAACGAACAAATCCGGGAATCAGTGGGGCCATCATATGGGTTC